AGAGCTCCATAAAAAGCTTTTATCAGAACTAATTCCCTTGCTATGACATCCTCCCGCTCAGCAGAGGGAGCTTTGGCAAGAAAGACACCACTTCTTTGGTACAAGGAGTTTTATTTTATGTCTACGGAGACGAACACGTTCACGCGATGCTTCCCGCATTGGAGGCTATCCTGGGCCACAGATCCGCACACTCCTTGGCCACGGGGCCTGTGATTGCAGAGCCTAGGGATAAAAAAAAAAAGGATAAGAACATGTTAAAGGTCCAAGTAGATGCAGAGATGGCTCAGAGCAGCACTTCACACAAAGGCTCGCTCAGCTCGAGTGTGCTTGCCCAAGCTGGAGGAAAATCTGGGTCCTTTCACCCAGGAGAGCGCGCAGCTCTCAAACCGGTAACTGGGACCCACTGCCCCTTCTGCCCAGCGGAACAGATTCTCACCCGTACCTTTCATTTCACCTTTATTATTCACTATCACTCCTGCGTTGTCTTCAAAATAGAGGAACACCCCATCTTTTCTCCTGTAGGATTTCCGCTGCCGAATGACCACTGCTGGGTGAACTGCGATGAGAAACGAGCGGCTCAGCATCACAAACATCCTTTTAACCACAGAGCACAACAACAGCACCTCAGAGGAACCGCTCAGCTTCTTAAAACTGCCCATGGAACTCTTACAGCTGCATCTACACTTGGACAACTCAGTATTTTTCCACTTTCCCACCTTTATTTATTTCTAAGTATACCACCGATTCACAGACAACAACTGCCCATGGAACTCTTACAGCTGCATCTATACTTTGACAACTCAGTGTTTTTCCACTTTCCCACCTTTATTTCTAAATATACCACCGATTCACAGACAATATCCAGCAAGAACTCCTCCCTCCCCCTGCAGAGCAACAGAAAACCTCCACGGTGGACTGTCACACCGCTGATTGAAACGAACAGCACAGGCTGCCGCTTCACCCAAAAGCGGTGCCTTCGTTCTGCCCTTCCACGACAACTCGCTGAGCCACTGCGTGCAGACCCGGCGAGTGCTTTTTCAGAAGGGTGGAGGCGACGCTCCAGAGATTCGGCGCCTGCCCTCCGCACCGGAATCACGCTCCTCTTCCACAGAAGTCCCTTGGGAGAGGACTCACCCTTCTTCCTCAGCTCCGGCTTGCCCTTTTTGACGGTGGCCATCACCATGTCACCCACGCCAGCCGCCGGCAGCCTGTTCAGGCGCCCCTTGATGCCTTTCACGGAGATGATGTAGAGGTTCTTGGCGCCTGCAGGTAGAACAGTCAGCATTACCCCAGCTGCCTTCGTCAAACCTCCAACTGAAGCGAGCGGTGCGGGCTGCCGCTGTTTCCAGAAATGGTAACTGAGAAAACTCTCTAAATCAAACAATTTCGAAAGGCAACACTGGTTCGTTAACCAAGCTGCACGAGTCTGGATGCAGGATGAAACTCAAATAACGCATTGAAGAAATAGAACATATTAATATTGTTACTTAATTAGTATAAACACGCCTAATTTACAAAAGCCAGTCAGTGATTATCATCCCTCTGTGGTGGGTTGGGTACCTTTAAAGTACCTTTGCCTTCCATCTCCTACAGGTGGAGGGGGAAAAAGTTTTCTTCACCTTCAATTGAGCTGGTGATCACCATCTCCCCCTGCTGCCCTTAACTTTTGCAATGAGAATGTAAAACTCAGGCATTCTCCAGCACCTCCTGATCTTGCACAGCAGAGCCTTCTGATTAGGAGCCTTTCAACTTTGTCACCCTGTTAGTTCTGAACAGCCTCAAGGACAAAACGCCCGGTTACCAGCCCTACACACACACAACCTACCGGGACACCTTTTTTTACCGATTACCTCAAGGATTTGTTTATCCCCTTTCAAAACTCACTGACCCATTCTCAAGCAACGGCCTCACCCAGCGGCGACACCCTCGCCGCCCCCTCCCACGACACACCACAGGAGGAGTTTTAGAGAAGGAAAACGTTGGTTTTTTTAAATGCTCACCCGTGTTGTCCGCGCAGTTGATCACAGCTCCCACCGGCAGACCGAG